AACCAAATCGTACCTTCCTTGTCTTCTTCGTCTCTCCTTCTTCTCTAAGATCCAATCTCGTCCCTTCTTCGCCGATTTCCCCTTCATGTTTTTAAAACGACACCTTCAAAACAAACAGCAAATCGTTGATTTATTTATATTATTAGTAAAATCAAAACATCCAGAACTGAGCTTGCCTCGGAATTGAACTTTTAAAATGTAAAAAGGGAGGAAAAGTTGCCAGACAGAGATTTGTGTCGGGCARGACGATGACCCTTTTTAAAATTTCTTTTGGTCCTTTGGCTTCATCAAGACAAGAACGACTGAACCTGTGTGAACTGAAGCCGAGACCGAGGAGGAGGAGGAGGAGGAGTGGCTGCTGAGAGGATTTTTACCTTTGTCCTGAATACTGAACCTGGTTTGGGACATTTTTGTTTGAAGCTTCTGTCCCCAACCCCTGAAATGAACAAAAACACAGTACTTAGATTTAAAAAAAGAATTTAAAAAGCAAAAAGATCCTAAAACTACAAAAGTTTCTTACTTTAGGAAGAACTCCCGTTACGCCGGCAAACAGACACAAAAAAAACCTGGAGGAAAACAATCACTTATTCTGCAGCTGATGAGACAAAGTTTATTTAATTTGGCTACCAGATGTGGTTCAATGTGTCAAAATAATAAAACGTTTGATAAGATTCTGACTTTTTGGCCTTGCTGCTGTTGGGGTAATCCACCACCATGCCTCCACTGAAACCTGCCCTCATGGCCTGACTTGTAATCAGCTCCAGCTGAAAATATAAAAAGGAAAATTTAACGTGGGGAAAAGACTCAAAGTTATCACAAAAACAACAATAAACAATTGTTTTTCTACCTGTTCTGAGTTTTCAGGGTAAAGCTGAAAAACAGCACGGGAACCTCTGGCCTGAAGAAGCGAGGAGARAAGTGTAAATTTTTAAATTTCAAAATAAAAGTCCTGAATGTTTGAAACGTTGAGCTTAGAGATAAAGCCTCACCAGAGACGAGTAAAGAGTACTGAAGAAAGAATAAAGTCTTTTAGGTGGACTGTGGGACCGTTTGTCAGCGTTACAGAGCCACTGCAGCGCAGAGATGCTGTGCAGGGAAAAATAATTCATTTAAAAAAATAAAATCTGCAGCAAAAATGATTTCAGCACGCCTTGTTCTTTACCTGATGCAGCCGTCAAATGTGCCGGGTCGGAAAGGCATCCCGTGGCCCATGTCCCCCAACAGAAGGTCTCCTTCCACCTCTCTGTCCAGAGCGACATCTGTCAGAGGGAAAGGCTCATTTATCCACATCTGATGACAAATACTCAGAAGATAAATACATCTCAGTCCATGAGAGAAACGCATTTTGATAATATGATTATTACGGGATGAAAAATTGCATTTATTATAAGCTTCAATGGTTCAGTTTTCCCCTTAAAGATCACTAAATTGTAGTAAAGTTGCTGGGAGTTCATGAGAGCATTTGAAACAAGTCTGACAAAGTGATAAAAAATTAGGAGGATTTTTCTGAAACAAAAACAAAATACTAATCTAAAAACTAAATATGTGGCTAACTTTCCCCCATAAAACCACAGGTTAGTTTAAAAGTTTGACATCGTACCCAGCATCGCTGTGCTGATGTCSACTCCGACCCAGTAGTGTCCCTCCTCTGACAGGAAGTCTCCACTCAGACCAGATCCACACCTGAGGATCACAACAGGACTCAGCTTGTAAAACTTCACTTCCATCTAATAAACTATAAATATACTGTATGTATACAGAAATTTACGGATTTACCTAACATAAAGTATTTGAAAAGATTCTTTTATGAGGAATACAGAAACTACAAAACATTTAGAAAAGTGTGATAAATTCTAAATGTTCCTGTGAAACAGCAGGCACCAAAAACAAAGTGGCTCAGAATAGGACATGATTAGGATTTTATGATCTTTTTTCACTTGGTTCTTGGTGAAAAGTCGGTGTTAATAAACCGTCTAAATATGAACAATGTTGACGTCGACGTCTCACCCAACATCCAGCAGGAAGCAGGGCTGTCCCTCCGGCAGGTTTAACAGCTCCACCGCTCGCTCCGACATCTGGGTCTGGATCTCAATCATCCGAGAGCTGAGAGACATTTTTACATTTTTACACACACACTGTATAATAATGTAATACTTATCAATGGATGAACCTATCATTTAAACAATTACAACAGCTTATTACAATCATCTTTGTAATAGTCCCTGAGTGAGTTGAGAAAATCTTTCTGGAGACTCAACAAACAGCAACAAATAAGCAGCCTTTAAAAGTGTTGAGACTAGACATGAAATTCAGCTCTGACTCAGTTTAATAAGAACATATAAACTTACTTCTGAGAGTATTTCTTTGCCTCCACCTCATTGTAGAACTGCAGAAATGATAACATAGAAAACAGACTTTAATGCTGCTAAATCTGTTTAAACTTTGTCTTTATCAAGCAAAAAATTACAGAAACGCGTTTAGTCAAAATAATATATTAGCTAGACCACCAGTCCAGGCATTAGGCGTTTCAGATCACAAAAACAGAAMTTTTTAGACTCAAAATTGCTTATTAAATGAAAAAGACATGTTAGAAAACAAACTGACCACATCGGGAGGAGCCGTGTGTTCGGGTCGTCGACAGCTGGAGGCCATTCGCCGTCTGTTTTTGACCTAAAATTCGCTTTAAAACCCCAGAATAATGTGTTAGCAGAGCCACATGCAGCAGGTCACGTGACGCTTTTCTTCTTCGTGGCTTTTTTAAATGTTGGTTCTCGTGTTTGATTGGGGAGATGTTGCCATCGTTTGTCCAAACATAGGAAGACAATATTTTTATTCTCACAAACTGCGAAAACACCGACTCAGGAATTACATTTTCATTTATTGTGTTTAAATACAAAAAGAACGCCAAAAATCTTTTTCCAGAATGTTTAATCGAAATAAAAGAGTAAAATAATAATAATAAAAAGTTTCAAGAGAAGCGTCTGTAAAATCGATTATGGTGCATTCTCTGTACCTCGGAAGTGGCGTATTTGAACTTGAAGTTCCTTTAACTTCAGCTTTCAAGTGTTCACATTAGGGAAATAGCTCAGTCCCATATGTTTTGTGTGTTTGTTTCTTGTTTTCTTAAGCATTTTAGTGAATTAGTCAAGAACTGAAAGACTTAAATACTTAGCCTAATAGTTTAGAACATTACTGATTACATATATTAGTTTGAACCCTATACACTGCCTTTACAATAACTAAATATAAAAGCTTAACTAGACTTGACATGTTTTAGTTAGAAAATTTGAGTTCGTGTAGCAAAACTTTATATTCTTTCTGAGATATAAAAGTTCCCAGCTTATATGAACGCATCACTTGACGTCATTTTTATTCTGCAAAAGGATTGGTCTAAAACGGCGAGCACTTCCTGTAAACATCATCTCTGATTGGCTCGATGTTGGGAGACTGCCGGAAGCTGTCTGTTCTTCTTGTTGGTAAAATGGCGGAGGTCAGTCGGAGGGTTATTGGCAACGGAATCCACCGGCTGACAGTTTTCAGAACCAGCCCAAATCGTCTGCTATGTGCTGAAGAAAGTCCCGGAGGTCTCGTTATACTCTGTGCTTCTTCTCATAGTCCAGTTAAAGGGGATGACGATGTTCAGGTTCTGTCAATAAACAGAGCAGGACTCGTAACAGAAAATCTTTCCAAATTGAAGGAAGCTGAAAATCAACAGAAATATGTGGTCTTTCCTGATGCATCTTCTTTTCATCTGCCCTCATCTCTAATTTGCTGTGCTGACCCTATAAAGAGACTACAGCCCAGCAGAACAGGACTGCTCATCTCCTCGGGGCTCCTTCAGGAGAAGCTGCTGACAGACAGCAGGTCTCCCTGGACCAGAGGAGCTGTTTTCATCCACTCTGATGCCTTCAGGTGCCATCATCAGCTCAGAAGTCTCTGCACCGGCCTCTTCGTTCTGACAGACATCAGATCAGAGGATCTGAGTCGCAAACTGAGATCTGGTCACAATTTGAGAGGGTCAGCACAGACCAGAGGTTTCAGCTGGAGGTCAGACGGGTCTTCTCACCTGCACAGAAGTAGGACGACCTATTATGATGTCCTCAAAGTGTCCCCCAACGCCACCCAGGCCCAGATCAAAACGGCATACTACAAACAGTCCTTCATTAACCACCCTGACAAGAACGCGGGCAGCAAAGAGGCCACCAAGCGTTTCTCTGAGATCAGCGAGGCCTATACCGTCCTGAGTGACGTCAACCAGAGGAGGAGGTACGACCAGGTCATCCTAAACCAGTCTGACCTCCAYAGTGCAGGGAGACCATCCCATAAAGAGACGTCCAGTAGATTCAAAGGTCACCAACAACAACAGAGAGCCAGACACTTCTACCAGCCYGATGGACGGCCCATCTATGATTTTGATGCCTACTACCGGGCTCATTATGGTGACCAGCTGGCAAGAGAGTGGGCCACGAGAGCCAAGAAGAAGCAGGATGAGGAGTGGATGAAGGAGAGAGAGCTCATGTGGAAGCAGGCGAAGCTGTTCACTTTGACTTATTTTATGATGGTGACCGTGGCCGGGATCCTTTTTTACAGTGCGGCCAAGCCTTGAAGTGGCAGCTGGTTTGGGGCCTGAGGTGGAGTCTGAAGATCAGCAGCTCTCCAGCACGGTGGTGGGTTGATGAGGATTTGGTTTTGCAGCCATTCACCAGTTTGTGACTGGATTCTCTCAGTCTCTGAGCTGAATATCTTTGGTGCAATAAAGCCTCTGCTGCTCAACCATTTTCAGTTTTCTTTGAAACAAATTCAGATGTTTGTGTGAACTCTGCAAAAGTTTTTATTTTCATCTAATTTAAACGAGATCTGCAGGTCACTTACTGATGTATTTTAGAATTGAACACGCTCTTATTTTGAAAAGCTAACCTAAATATGAAAATCAGATTTAATTGGGTTTTGTTCTTATTCTTCCTGCCATGGAACTTTTACTTTTGATGTCAGTAAGCCTCCACCAAAAAAAAAAAAAAAAAACCTTTAAAATTTGTTTTTAAAGACATCAGAAGGAGATCCTTTAGAAGCCAAAGCTGACAGATGGAAATACCAACAAGTCAAAAATAGTTTCTGTGCAAAATAATAAGAAACTTAAATTGAGAAACTTTTCTGTAAAACCTTAGTTTCTAAATAACATGCTTAAAGTAAGAGATTAAAAGAGCTTGTAAATAAAACTGCAGATTTTGAGCTCTTTAGGATTTAAAGTTTGAGCAATGTTGTATTCAAGGGTTCACGTAAAAAACAGCACTTTAGCCAACTTGATAAATTTTATCTCTTTACCACCCTCCAGTTCTCCAGTAAGCTGAGGTTTCTGTCTCCACATCAAACCGTCTCCAAATCCCMACGCAGTCCTTCATTTTCCTGCTCAACTTTAAGTTTTAACAAAAACAATTTATTTTTATGCTAAAAAAAACAAAGCAGGGGCACCAGCCAACAAATCCAWCGACACACAAGGCTGATCACACACCAATCTCAATTTAAACTTCAAATAACTTTWAACCAGCTCTTTAAGGTAAAGTAAAATTTATTTTTTAAAGCGGAGATAACAGAGTCCGCAGCAGCAGGAAGAACAGATCTCTAAAAATGAGTTTTGACTGGAATAACTAYATTTTTATGGCAAGCCATTTTAACATAAAACTGGATTCATAACACTTGTATTCCAGATATCTGGAATTGAATTATGACTGTCATATTTGTTATATAAAACATCTTAATTATATTCTGACTAGTATAAATGATGTCAGATTTATCATTGAGTTCTAAAGGCTTCAATTCAAGATATCTTAAAAGGCATATTGAGTCAAAAATAGTGTGAAGTATCTCTTAGTTCTGACAAGTAATTATTTGCTTTAAAGATACCTCACATTTAGTTTTTACTAGTCATCATTCCAATTAAAGATATCTTAAATGTACTTTTAGATATCACATATAAACATTTAACTAGTCCAAATTTAAAATATTTTAATTATTATGTCCTGTTTGCTTTAAGACTTTTACTGTTTAAAGTTCACAAGATCAATCTTAAGATTTYATCAGGAATGAGATTGGAGCAGGTGTGCCATCAATATGGGGGGCCGGGGGTGGCAATGGTTACCCCTAAAAGTTGGTGACCTTCCTCAATGGCCCCCTTCATAGTTTTATCCTCGAGTCCCAATTTTTTGCTTGCTGTATATTTTATTTTCTCCTAGTTTTTTCAGCATATACAACTTTTCTAGAGGCACCACAGTTGGTAAATGTTAAAATGTTGGAACGGTTTGTCATTTTAATGTGTCCTGCTATATTAAGTTAAAAAAAATCACTATAGCTGTGGCAGATCATGTTACTTCCTCTGTTCACGGAAATAAAAAAAGCCAACTTTGTCTGTAGAGAATAAAACCTTTGTCTCTTTAAAGAGTTTAAGTTCCCCGTTTCACTCACCTTTTGTTTTTATTTGTACTCATCCGAGGCCAGACCAACAAGCCACTGAACAAACAACAATTTGTTCACATTTTATTCACAGAAATATAAAGTAGTTATCAATTACATCACTTTGTACAAAATTGCACAGACTCTTGAAAACTCAGTCAGACAACAGAAAGTTCAGCTGAGAGAAGTTTGGGGAACTAAAAAGTGGAGGCGTGAGCGATCTTTGATATGTGGGGAGAGACAGCTTTACTTCTGCTGCTCCATAAAGAATCGTTTGTACAGAAATAAGACTCAATAGGAAACATCGTTTTACAGCAGCCAAAGAAGAACGTGTTTAAAAAAAAAAAGGATTCAAATTGGCACATGAACTGCTTCATTCCACTGAAATCACCTTGGAGGCAGCGTGGCCATGCTTGAAAAGACAAGAGGTTTTGATTTTTGATATGTAATCATCAGCTTTAATAGTCAAACTGAGAAAACGGTTGCATAAGTTTCAGGTGCTTAAACACAGCAATGGTTTAAAAAAATTGTTATAACACCGTCAGCTAATTCTAACAGCAGGTTAGATTTAAAGTAAAAATCCAAAATGTGGGATATCACAACTTTACGACATTAATAATGACCTGAAACTGTTTGTTATTTTTAAAAATACAGAACAAGGTAAYAGATATTTTAACTTGTAATAGTGTTATAAATACTGATCAATCTCCACTGCCAAGGTCACGCAAAATGAAACGATAAAATAATTCCCTTTTTTTATTTTAAAAGGTCCTGAATGTAAAATGTAGTGATATTATTAACACAGTAATGGCTCCTCTCCCAAGTATTTTGAAAAAAACTATGGTGACCTGAAAGTAATTAGGAGGCCGGTCCAGAGGGATTGTTTTATTTGTGAATTGAGAACTACACTGTAAAGCGATAGCAGASTACAAGGACCAGAGTGGTTTTTAAATGAAAAATCCAGTTTTGAACTCTCCAAAAGAATCTGTTCAACCTTGCTAAATGGTCAGGTACACAATAAGTACAATGTACTTTTTAAAATATTTTTTTAAGAAAACTGCTTTGTTAAATGTTAAAAGCCACAAGTTCAAACTTTTTACCATTAACTGTATTTGAAGTGATTGTAAAACACATAACTGAAGCCTAATGTTCGCATTACTTAGAAGTAAAAAAAAGAATACATTGGAGTAGAAAGGACTTTCCCCCCTCAAGTATTGTGTCAGGGAATCTTAACACTGCAAAAAAAGAAGAAGAATTAAAGCAAATGTGTATTAGTGTAAGTACTTTTATTAAATTTAGACAGATTTGAGTTAGTTTTTCTTTACTGTTTTCAGAATTGTGCTAAGCTAAGCTAACAACCTGCTAACAGTGTAGMCCTTTTTGCTACAAATATTTTTAAATTAATGATTTTTTTCAGTCTTGTAGATGCTTTTTTGTTGATAGTTCAGTTTGTTTTTACATAAACAGTAAAAATAAGGTTTCTTAAAATGTGTCTGCATCAAACCTTTGCCCCAAGTTAGCATAAAACAAAGAAATCTTGCATCTTTCTATTCAAGCATGGCCACCTAATATACTTTGTGTTTCTACATGTACTGTTCCAGTTCATACCCACAAGTTCACTTGAAGGCTACATAAAACAGTACAAGAAGTTACCACAAAATAAATAAATTTAAAAAAAAAAACAAGAAAAACTGTTCCAAGTCCCTCCAGAAATGCTGGATTTGGTACAATAATATCTTCAAGGCATTACCTTAAAGTAATCTATATTAACAGTTTATCTAATCTAGAGGTTTTCAATAAGGTGTGTGTGTGTGTGTGTGTGTGTGTGTGTGTACATACAGTAGCCATCATCAGACGGAGGGACCTAGAGAACATGTTTTAAAAACCCCACTGTGGCACACAGACCATTTAAAAATACCTGGACTCTAACACATCACTACACATTCAAAGTATCCCAGTAGGAGATCAACATCGGAGGCAACCGGTCCAGATTACAGAACAAAGTGTTCAAATTTGAACTTGCTTGTGTGTATTAATTAAAACCTTTTTTCAGTATGTGTATATGCTTGTTTATGTCTGAAGCAGAAACTGAAATATTCACCTGCATCTGATTTTCAGGACTTTTGTGGTGTTAGCGTCACCGTCCTTGAGGTGACAGAGGTCCATTTGAGTCCGGGGCAAATGTCAGGCACTAAGAGTCTTTATGTCTGTACACGGTTAAGAAAATACCTCCAACACATTTGGTTGCTGTACTGGTGTTAGTGTAAAGACCCAGAGGAGGACTATGTGGAAAATAAACCCAAAGGGACAGTGAGGGATATCCGGTACAGACTCAAAGCAGCTTTATAAACATTAACAGGATGCTCTCAGAAGCTCAGAGGGGAGGGACGGTTTCCTTCAGGGTCACTTCAAACTTTCAGTCCTCCAGCAGGGTGGTGACACAGGCGCTGCTCCTGGGGAACTGTGGGTAAAGCTGCACAGGAAGTGGAGGTGAAAAGAGGTGAATCAAAGCCATATGACTCCCGTGGATGACTTCCACTGAACTTTCCCTGCCTTCGATCGTGGTCTCCATTTTGTGCATCTTAACCCTTTTTTCCCTCTGACTATAACCCTCAGCCCGTGTAATTATTAGCTTTTGTGTCTGAATTTGAAACAAAGCAACAGAAATAAAAGGAACTTGTTAGTGCTTGGCATCCTTTGCTTAACAAATCCAAGACACAGGAAACGTTCTTAAAACAAAGACAGATAAAAGAGTGTGTAATGAAGTGATTTGGGCCGTTCTCCCAGGCGCAGAGTGCTCYGTGTCCCTTCTTCAGACAGAAAATAAACCTCTGAGCCCCTGATCCAGGTTGTTTAGTAGAAGGAGTACTGGTTCTCCACGGCCCGGGCCCTGCGAGTCCCGTCGGCGTCGTGGTAATCCTCAGAAGCGCCACTAGAGGCCTCCAGCAGGCGCTCGGAGCTGTTGCTTCGGCTCTGCAGGCCTCCTCCGGTACCCGGGTCGCTTCTGGAGAGCGAAGGAAGGGCGGTGGGCGAGGAGGAGGTGCTCGAGGAGAGGGGGGYGTCCGAGGAGGGCCCTGCAGGAGCTGCGATCCCAGGAGGGTGAAGCGCTGGTGGGGCCGAATCGGTCCTGCAGGCTGCGCCGGGAGGAGTGAGAACCGGGGGCACGGTCACGTCTGTGGCGGCTTGTGGGAAGAAGAAAGACATGTTTTTAATAGAGGACACGTTACTGGAAACCAYGAATCTGCGCTGCGGATAATTGTTGGCTTTACTGAGGAGCTGCGACTCAAAGAGGCGCTTTCATGGAGCTGCGTGTAAACACACAGGCAAAGTGTGGGCCTCCTTTATGATCCTTTCTCTTGGTGGGCAATAACACCAACAACACTGGAGCCAAAGACATGCCTGCCCAGTGGATCAATCCAGCCTTTCACACCCTGAATCAGACCCTCACTTCATGTGTGTGGGTGTGTGTGCGTCCAGCGTCTTGGCCAAACAGAGGGGCCCTTTGTGACCACCAGGGTGGAGATGGGAGTCTCAGCCTGCATGCAAAACTTCAGCTGGATTAGTGCCCCCCCAACCCCCACCCACTAACACACACACACACACACACACACACAC